GTTCTGATTCAAGGCAACCTACAYGAACAGAAAGAACCCAGGGGACAAAGTGAGACTTGTGTAGCTACATTAGAGGGGATGAGAAAAATTTCAGATCCAGGCAAATCTATACATATGTACTATAAATTTGAAAACAATGAGTAGTGCCACTAACCACAATGGGTGTTGTAGTTTTTCTTTGGAAATAATTTTTTCTATACCATCAAGCCAGTATACACAAAATATTCAGAGAAAAACCCAATTTGTTTGCAAAATTAGTTTTATCAAGTTTTACCAGATCACTGCATAGAAACTTGGAGAATATTTACATATCAGATTGGTCTTGAAAAAACTATTTATAGACTAAAGAGCTATATACCATGACAGATTTTAGACTTGTCCTCAGTATCTATGAATAATTTAAATGACATCCCATTGAAAATTTTGGTAAGGGGCTGGGGATGTGGCTCAAGYGGTAGCGCGCTCGCCTGGCATGCGTGTGGCCCGGGTTCGATCCTCGGCACCGCATACCAACAAAGATGTTGTGTCCGCCGAGAACTAAAAAATAAATATTAAAAAAAATTTAAAAAAAAGAAAATTTTGGTAAAACATTCTTTTCAATATCATCTTGTTACATAGAAGAGATTCTCTTATAACTGCATTGCCAAAAAAAAAAAAGAATACTTTTGCATTTTATTTTTTAATTTTGGAGTTTCAAGTATGGTGGAAAAGTAAATGTTTCCACTTTTGTTCACAATCATAGCTGCTGTGCTGGATGCTATAATAAAATACCCAACGCAAGCTAACTTTATAGGAAAAAAAGGTTTGTTCAGGTCAGTTTCTCAAGTCTAGAGGCAAGGCGCTGGCATTGCTGAGTTCTGGTCAGGGCTCTTGGCTGCAGAACATCACAGTGGCTGGTGATGGTGGGACCACATGTGGAGTGAGAGCTTAGCTCACAGACAGAAAGTGAGACAGGGTGGAGCCCCGCTCAGCCTTAATACCAACCTCTCAGGAGAACTCATGCAGGCATCAGTCACACCTGACTCCCTTCTGAGGACAGCAACCCAGGGACCTGTGGCCACCCATGGGAACCAACTCTTACAAATCCCAGCAACACCCACACTGCTGCACTGGAGAGCAAGCCTCATCAGCAYGTGAGCTTTTGGGGATGCACTTGAACATACCCAAGCCATTACTCTCTGTCCCTCGCCCTGCAAGTCTCATGTCTGTGTCACAATTTCAAAAGTACAAGTCCAACATCTCCAGTGAGAATGAACGAATACTGCTTCAGGTGTGAGCCCCTTTAAAAAATCATCCCACACTTTCAAAGTACAGGGCACAGGACAAACGGTCCTATTGCAAAGGGAGAAGCAGAGCAGCAGAGGGGAGGAATCAGCTCCATGCAAGACAAAACCCAGCAGGGAGGAATTCAACCCAAACTCTCCATGTCCAGCCTCCTGTGCACACTGTGGGGTTCACCCTCCCAAAGCCTGGGCAGCTCCATCCCTGTGGCTTTCCTGGTCCTTGGCTGCTAGCAAGGCTGCATGCTAATGCCAGTGGCTTTTCTACCCTACCAAATCCAGTTGGTGGGGAGTTGATTTTCCTGAGGACCTCTCTGCACCTCCACACCCACAGCTCCAGGAGGAACTTCCCATCAGGGGCTCCCTGCAACAAACTTTCAATGTAAGTCAAGCAGCAGCTGCCCTAAGGGCTCTGCACTCTGCACCTGCAGGCTCCATGCTGTGAGTGCCCAGGTGTGCCCCTCGCACAGCATACACCTGGTCTGCTTAGGAGACCTGCAACTGTGTGGGACCACTGAGCAGTGCACTGAGATCAGGGCCCCCAGTGCAGAGGTGACTCCGAGTAGGGAGCCTGTGGAAGGTGCCCCTGGGCTGTGACAGGAAGGGTGAGGTRGCATCAGACTTCCAAGGCTCCCTGAAGGCCAGTTCCTCCTTGTCTTGCCACGTGGCACAGGGCTCTTAGCTGCACTGATCTCTTGGGCAAGTGGTTTCTCCACCGCAAGCTTTCCTTTTCCTTGCCCCTGGTCAGGCCATGAATTTTCCAGAGGACTCTGCTCTGCTTTCCTTTGTTCCTGCATCTCATAGTAAACACAATGAATGGTGCCCAGGCTGTGGCCAGAATGTTTTCCTGCTCTGACCTCTCCTTTGATGTCTTAGTGTCTCAGGCCATGGGCACAATGCAGGCAGATTCTCTGCCATGGTGAAACCAGGGGGTCTTTGGCTCAGTTTCCAGCAGAGCCCTCACTCCCATCACAATCTGCTCTCCTCCCCTCTTCCAAACTCTAAGGTCTTGGACCTGGTCTGCTCATCTTCTGAGCCCTCCCCAGGGCCACCTATAACCATCTGCTTGGAACACACCAGGGTTTTTTTAGCCTGTTTCTCCAGACTCTTGTAACCTCTGCCTGGTCCCTAATCCAAAGCTGCCTCCTGCCCTCAGGCAGTTTTCATGATAACCCTACTCCTTGGCACTAGTGTTCTGTACTTACCACTTTTCCACTAAGTCACAAAGACTTTCATCATCTCCTTATACACACGCTCACCTTACAGCCCCCCAACACCTCTCTCCTACTTACTGCTTCCCTGCTGCTTTACCTTCTTTTTATATCCCCACTATAAAAAATTCTGAATTGGTTGTTCTTTTTTGACAAGTCATATTTTCATGCTGTTAAAAATAGTTTCATCATGAAAAGCACATCTTTATTCTACAATTTGTATAGAAAACTATAGCAATTAGAAAGCTTGGCACTCCAATATTTACTAAAAACCTAGAATATTAGCAAAACTTAAAGGGTTTGCCTTATGATAATAATCTAAAAATATATACTGCGTGAACTCTAGAATCATATGCTTCCTCATATAAATTTCTAACGTGGAAAAGAACACGTGACAATAAATATGAATATATTTGAGTTTACAAAATTCAAAAAGTTGAGAAAGAATAAACTTCAACCTTATGATAGTTAAAAGTTCAGTATTTTAACTCCAGAAAAACTGATTTATATTATTATAACTTTAACACTACAAATCACTCAATTTATAAGCATTTATCATATTTATAGACACCTAATTTATTGTTAAGAAAACAGTGAGCCTAAACAAAACTAGCCATCAGGTGTCTGGTTGTTGACTCATTCATCCCCTCCATATCCTCTTCCCTCTGCCATGACACAAACAGTTCTGCTCTTCCACTATCCGTTTTTCAGTCACCTCAGACCAAAGCAATAGTCACAGAAAACTGTGATCATGTGAACCAAAGGAAAACTTTCCATCCATAAGTTCAGTTTTTCATGTTTTGACACAACAATGGAAAGCTGAGTAACATATGAAGAGAACTGGAACACCAAATATCTTTATAAGATTTATTATGTTCATAGGTTTTTATCTGTGTGAATCTTTCTTTCAAAGGAACTGGGGAAAACTTAAGCTTTGGCACATTTCTCACATTCTCAGGTGATTTCTCCATTGCGACTATTCTCATGCATAGGAAGGGAAATGAAACAACACACATTCTGGGGGTTTATTTCCCCAGATGAGTGACTGAAATGTTCTGAAGGCAACAGAAAACACTCAGAGAGAGAAACACACCAC